ACACACACACACACACACACACACACACACACACACACACACACACACACACACACACACACACACACACACACACACACACACACACACACACACACACACACACACACACACACACACACACACACACACACACACACACACACACACACACACACACACACACACACACACACACACACACACACACAGCTTCCTAGGACCTCAACACGTGGATATCTGATAAAAATTTGCATTCTCAAAATTGGAACAAATCTATAACTGCCTACATTTGAATATCAACTTTTTGGGAAATCATAATTTAACATGTTGGGAAGTCAACTTTGTAGGATTCAACATTACACAAGTTCAACTTTTTGAGATTTCAACTCTATGCGAATTCAACTTGATGGTCCGAATGGATTATTTTCAAAGAGGGTAGTTAAACATCTGGTATTTAATTTGAAAATTTGCGTAATAATTAGACTTGCATAAAAAAATGCAAATATTTGACACAAATGTTTGATTTTAATTTCAATGTCATGAGTAAGAGCTACCGCATGTATACCGCATACACACAATTGTTAAATCGATCAAACGTAGAGTTGTGTTTGTGACGATTTCATGACGATTAAACTGTTTGTTCAAGGATGGTGCGCGCATACAGTCAATCTAGTCGTTTTCTCTAATGGGCGACATTTATTTACTTTTTTATTTAATATTTACAACTTCCATAATAAACGAGTAAGCACTGGCTTGTGCTTTGCTTTATATACTGCATAATGAATGAAATAGAAAAAGAAGGTACGTTCCAACGGACACGTGCATATTTAGTTCTGCATCGCACTAGTATAACTAAATACATAATTATGTAGTCGCGAGTCGACTGTTTTGTCGAGCTTATACATAAATCGCACACGGATAATCCTTCAAACCCGTTACAATTTTTATTTTAGACCATACAAACCGTGCGGCATTCGACCTCGCGGTCATGCAACGCAACAACCAAACCCTTATCTTGTGTGCTAGGGAGTAGTAATTCTTTCATTAAATGTGCAGCATTCTCTCATCTAGCAGCAGTTATTATCGATTAATAGATATGAATAGCGAATGTGAATAGCGTTTATTGGTTTCCGTGCGAGAAGTTATCGAATCTGAGTCGATTTCCCTTTTCGAGACGATTGTGAATGCTATCAGATCACTATGCTCATACCATCACATCAGCGTAAGCAGTGCTAAACTAAGTCTCTACCATAGATTTAGGAGACGATTTGAGATCGCAGTACCAATGATTGCAGCACGAATGGGTCGACTTGATAAGGGAAGGGCCACGCTCTCACAGAATAATAGCGTAAAATAGCAGCTTTATGCTGCTGTGTTTCGTATGGTGAGTGTAGAGAACCGGATACCCTTTTTACTGGAAACGAGGCATTCCATCTTAGAGCTCAAGGGTGACAGCGCATCTGCATTTTGATCCATAATAGAATATAAATATAGATGTCTATGACAGTACCATCAGGTGGAATGTGTGCTCGTTTGTTACCCTGTTGTTGTTGTTAGTATATAGAATCCTACTAATATTATAAACGTGAAGTTTGTGAGGATGTATGGATGTTTGTTACTCTTTCACGCAAAAAATACAGAATGGATTTTAATGAAACTTTACAATTATATAGCTCATACATCAAAATAACACATAAGTTATAACTAATAAAGATATTGTGTAAATTGACTAAATTATAACCATAAATGTTAAGTAAGTCAGAAAGAAACACTGAACACGCATCACACAAAAACCTGTAAACCGATTTGGATGAGACTTTCACTGGCAGATAGCTGATGTTATAAGGAGTAACTTGGGCTACTTTTATTTTAGGGTTCCGCGCAAAATAATTTTACGCGGGCGAAATCGCGAGGAACAGCTAGTAACTATATAAAAGAATGTGTTTGCACATTTTTTTAGGAACTAGAGCTACTATCTTGATACAATGGTAATATTCCATTGTTAGTTTTGTAAGTTGATAATAAGGTTGATATTAAGATAAAAAAGTTGCCGTTATGCCAGTGATGTTTAAATCTATAGTAAGGTTAGTATACCAGACTAGAACTTAACTTCGAATATATTAATAATATTTACGTGCGGGTATTGTAGTTAAAAGACCTGCTAATATACCGCATTAACAGTGGTAGAGCCACGCGGCAGCTTTTGCTGTCGCGCGGATGGGCCGGCTCGAACCGGGGTAGTACCACGACCTCACAGAAAACCAGCGTGAAGTAGAGATTTACCTCTGCGTTTCGCTTGGTGAGTGCAGGTGGCCGGAGGCCCTTTTTACTGGAAATGAGGCATTCCATCTTAGTCCTCACGGGTGACAACGCATCTACATTTTGATTTGTAATAGAGGATAGATGTAGATGTCTATGGGCCGCAGCAACCACTTACCATCAGGTGGACTGTGTGCTCGTTTGTCACCCTTATTCTATAAAAAAAAATATAAAATAAATTTTATAAAATGTACAAAAACACAAACCGTTGATTTTCGGGTCTAGTCTTAACCCTCACCATAGTTATCGAATACGTCTAGAACCACAGAACACTAGTACTAGAACTAGGGCGAGTGTCTGCATGTACAGTTGTTGTACTACCTATAATCTTTAATATTATGTCCTATGCAGTCCTATTTTTAATCGACTTCAAAAGAGGAAGAGGATCTCAATTCGAGTGTATGTTTTTTTTGTATGTATTTTACTCGAACCTGTCATTTTTTCATTTTTATTTTTATTTATAAAAAAACGTAACCTCCACACTAGGATATTCTAATGTATCGTGGGGGTAGTTTACAAACATAAATTGCGCAAGGACATACATCCAGACCCGGAACAATTATTTGTAGGCCATACAAATAAGTACTTGTTCCGTGCGGGATTCGAACCCGCGGCCCTTAGCGCTGCAATTCCATTGCTAAGCCACTGCGCTACGGAGCGGTCGTTTTTATTACAAAGGTTATATTGCAGGGATGGTTTCATATAAATTCGGAGAAAAGATCTACACCTAAGGGTGGAAACATAGGGGATAAATTTTTTAATGTGGCTATATAGACGACATTCGAGCTTTTGATATCCAGTGGTTCACTGAAAAGGATCAAAAAATTAGACTTTTAATAAAAATTAAAAGCCAACAAAGAACTAAAAAAAAAAAAACTAAAAATAATGAGGATAATAAGAGAATAATAGATAATAGATAATAGATTCAAAAGCTTTAATACTTCTATACACTATGTTTTAAGCACTGACTTCTCAAGTTGTTATGCAGAAATTATTCTATTCTTTGTAATTCTTTGAAGTCGGCTTTTATTTTTTATTCATCTAGTTTTACCTGATATTAGTGATGTCAGTCAGCCAGTTGGTTTTTACAGGATTATCGGTCTTAGGCCTATATAGTCCTGATTCATATCATCTGAGGCTATTTATAAGGTGTCGCCGTTGCAGAAATCAGCTGAGGGGACATGAGAAACATCGTCATCATAATTATATAAAGAAGTTGTTGAAATTTAGTACTTACCAAATAACATGATACTGCCTATTGATGAGGTATTCCCAAGCGTAAGCTTTGTGACTGGAGCTATCCAAACCTAATCTAGAGCACTCGCTTCTCAAGTAATCTCTCCGAGCCTCCATTCTCGCGCCGACCTCGAGGAACTTGTCGCGAGGCAGAAGATTTTCATCGTGAGTGCCGTTTTCGAATACATACTGAAACAAGAAAAATATCAATATTATTCTCTAAGCGAAGAGAAGTTTACCATTATTTTATGTGTTTCAAAAAATTAACAAACGAAATTAATAGAGATGGTGAGTACATAGAGAGAGAGGTACTTAAGGTGTTTTATCTACATTATTTTTATAGGATAAGGGCACAAAATAAATAATAGTACTACGTAATAAGGGTGACAATCGAGTACACAGTCGCTTAATGGTAAGTGGTTGTTGTGTCCCATAGACATGTACATCTATCCTCGATTACGAATCAAAATGCAGATGCGTTGTCACCTGTGAGGGCTAAGATGAAATGCCTCGTTTCGAGTAAAAAGGGTATCCGGTCCTCTACACTCACCATATGAAACACAGCGGCGTTCAGCTGCTATTTTACGCTGGTATTCTGTGAGAGCGTTGTCCATCCGCTGTCGAGCCGACCCATTATTCTTACAACTATATTACTAACACAGCTGCAGCGTGGTCCTACCACGTAAAAATATTTACCACCTACATAATATTTAAAACATATCGTTACGGAATTTTCGTAAGAAACAATGTATTATTTATATAATATATGATGGCATACATACATGCATACTGTAGAAGATTCAAGTTCTTTTTCACAGGGTTATTTTTCAAAGAGTAGCCAAATTTTAAACTTAACTTCGAATATATTAATAATGATATACCGTGATTGAAGTTTTTGAAAATACGAGTAAATAAGGCTTCTACTTTTATTTGAAAGTATCCCAAATTTAATGTGATTTATGGGTAACAAATGCGTACGCGCGCTCATGTGTGTGCGATTCAATTCACAACGTTTTTGCCTACCGATCAACCTTTACGAATATGTGCGTGCTTGAGATTTTTTTAATTAATTTTTCTTCACCGTTTGCCTATAATATTACTTATTCTGAAACTTTTCTGCAAATTTGTCCGGTTATTGTAAAATAACCCTGTATAATGAAATACTAATACTTTAAATTGGACTACTTATAGATGAAGTGTTTATTGGAATGTCAGCAATTAGTTCTTTTTAAGTATTTACAAGATCACACTAATTAACTATTCGTTATTTAGTGTGATCTTGTATAAAGACTTTCAAACGATTTTGCATTCATTGCATAACTCATAAAGCCTGTACGCGTCCACAGGCTCGTTTTGTTCTGATTGAACTGAACTTGAACTGGTTTTAGATTTTTTTGTATAGTGATAGTGAGCTATAAAAACAAGTGCGTCCACTGATTCATAGCGGGCGGACCTCATTCGACGGCCTGTCGGTAATGCCGCCAAAATTTCGCAGAAGAGCAGCTTTCCGTTGCGTGCTAATGACGTTATACGCATTACCGATCAGTGGGCGGTATGACATCAGCAGTCAGCACACAAACAAACATCGGAATAGTTGCTCATCGGAGACATTGTGTCGACATTTCTGACGGGCCGACGCGTGCGATCTGTCGGCTGCGGATCAGTAGACACAGATTGTTTTTAAAAAACCGCCACCGAGTGGTGACAGTGTACAAAAATCAGTTTGTATTTTACACTAGTAGTATACAAGAAAAAAATCTCAGTTAATTTAGCGTAACGTTTTCGCCATTTTCATATCGGCCCGAAAATTAATAAGAATGTTATCTCAGGAAAAGGACGGCTGTTACTTAATACAATTGATAGTTCTAATTAGTTTATATTTTTAATTTGTTGTTGAAAACATAATTTATGCAGAAACACAAATGGTTGAATTTCCCGGCTAATGTTTTGTCCCTTTGTCTCTGACACTGTATACTCGCCTGCCTCTGATCTTATCGCGTCAGCATAACTAGTTGCATAAACAATTTATTGTATTTATTTTAGAAACGTGAAATTCATTAACGATTTATATAAACTATATATTAGTAGTTGCGTTATTTTTCCACTAGTTGTTAGTTACTTACTTACTTCATTATGTTATGAATTAAATAGTTCAATTAACTAATAAGGTCAAGCGATAATATTAACATTTTTGCATTAATTAATTGTAGTAACTTTGTTATATGATTGATATCACAAAGTTCATTATAAAAATAATGAAATTAGTACGAAATAAATTTTACGTAAATGTAGCGTTCGGATAACGTACTACTTTCTATATAACATAATCAAGAGTTTCGAACGGTATGTGCTTACCATTCCTTACTTTCACTAGTTTCTCAACACAGTTGTCCGATTTTCTTTTTAACAATGTACAATTAAAATATACAACTACATAAAAATAAATTAAGATATAAATACTCTATTTACCACTTTTACGTAGGTATATTAAAAGAAAAGCAACGTTGAATAAAATTATATTGACAAATTTTATGGTGTATTTGTACAGCATTTTATGAGGCGGTGTTAAAGCCAAAATGTGATTTTTTTACTATTATTCTCTAGTGCTTGACAACTACCACACCTGATGGTAAGTAGATGAAGATGGTAAGGCGCATTGACTTAGCATGACAATAGCCTATTCACTCTTGAAACTCCGAGCATAGCCCTCTCCATAGCTCGCCGAGTGACGTTGAGCTTTCTCATCCGGCCAGCAGTGAAGGACCACGTCTCAGTTCCATAGGTCATCACTGGCAACACGCACTGGTTGTACAGTCTCCTTTTTAGGTTTTGAGGTATACTTGACGAGAAGATGTCTCCTCGACACACTCTCAATCTTTACAACGTTGTTAAGGAGAGACTTGTGGACAATACATCCGACACCTCCTCGGGACAGATGGTCGCCCTCCCGGTGATAGAGCAAGTTCTTGGATACAAGGATTACCATGTCTTCCCCCTCTCTTTCGACCTCAGATAATCCTATAATATTCCGGCCTACTATATTCCTGTATGCCTATAAATAAACGTAAGAAGTCTAAACCCATCAGGGCGATGTTTGTAGGTTGATATTTCATTCTAGTGATGAAACACTAATCCTCTTCTTTTTGCTAGGAATGGGTCTCCCCTGTTATAAGGAGGACTTGCATTCATCGTCATGTTTGACTAAGAACGTTGGTTAAAACAACTTTTGACTACGAAAATCAGTGAAAACTGTTTTTGACTAAGGGCACCGGTCAAAACTATTTGTGCCTGATTTTTTACAGTCTAAAGTGGTTTTGACCGGTTATGAGTTTTGACTGCAACATATCTAAGTGGTTATACCACCATATTATATCTGAGCCTTATGACTCGATAGAAATTCCCGTTGTCGCCTCTTACGATACTCATGGGATGAAAAGGGGCGGTGTGTTTTCTTACTCCGGCATCACAAGGCCAAGAAAGCTGATCAGTTATTCAAGAAACAGATCTAATCGTAAATTCCACCCATCTATAACATCAAAACAACATCATTTGAATTAATATCCTATTTCTTTACGATATTTGTGCCGTATTTTTTTGTTCCGATTAATCTGAAATGTCGCTCAGAAATTTTCCACGTAAACTTCTGTTATAAATTATGTATTCGAATCATTGAATACATTTAAATAATAGGTGTGTTATAAATAAATCATTTTGGAGACAAGTTTTGGTAACATTAAATTTTACAAAATTGATAATTGTATATAATTTGCTATTTTCTAGGCTTGGTAGCGCAGGGGCTAATGTTTGATATAGCGCCGTAAGCCGCGGGTTCGATTCCCGATTGATTCTAAGAACAAGTATTTTTATGGCTTACGTCTGTAAAACCAAACAAAAAGTCTTTCAGTCCAAATCTTAGTGTAGAAATAACATGTTTTAAAAAAATAGTAGACAAAATTGAATATGAGTAAATCTATACATACATATAATAAACCTGAAGAAAAGTCGTGTCTGTAATTCTAATATTTTCTGGAAAAAACAAGTCCAGGGGACTAAATAAAGGTCACTGAGGCTAAATTAGTGGTTTTTAGAATTTATGTCTGTCTGTCTGTGTATTCCCGATTCACGCAAAAACTACTGGACAGATTTTCATGAAATTTTGTGTGTAGGTATGTAGGAACTCGGGGCAAATTATAGGCTACTTTTTATCCGATTACAGAATTTTAGAAAAGGAGGGTTAAGTATTTTCTTTCTTCAAGATGTTAATTTCTATTTTATTTTATAGATTATTGATGTTTTTTAAAAATAAATAACGTATTTATAAATAAAGCCTAAAATTAGTTACTAGTTTTAACCGTTACGTAATAATTTTAACTACGCTGACAATCTAAGTTTCTCTTTATCAAAACAGGTGCCATCTAACAAGAAATTAAAAAAGTAGTAACATTTTACCTCCAGTTTTTAATAAATAAAATAAAATATATGACTTACATTTATATGTTTTAATAATTTAATTCATAATTATTTAAAAATTCTAACGTTCATTTTTCAGTTCTTTCGTTATTTCATTTTAGTAGGAATAAATAAAGTTTAAGGTAACTAATTACTACATACTTAAATAGTAGATAATATTGACATTTATCGAAAATCATAAAATGTGAGATATTTCTAAGTTTAAGTTCTAATCTAAAAAAAAGTTTTGATTATCTATAAATAAACTGATAAAACTCTCACTATACATTATTAATCTAAAAATAAAGAATTAATAATATCATAAAGTAGTTAATTATGGAACGAAATGGTGGCATTTAATTAAATTAAACATTGTTTTTTGACTATATCATGATATAGCTTGACCATTAACAACTAAACACAATTTGCGATATTAACAACTAAACACAATATTGCTATTTCTTCATATTGTTATATCGTAAAATAATTTCATTACACACCGCTAGCAACACTGATAGCATATTTTTGACAGATGCAGAATTTTTAATAGAATCTACATCACTTTGTGCCTAATTTATGTATTATATAAATGTTGGTGGATTTGTTGTGTGATTGGGCCACCCCAGTCGCACTTCAACTTATTGTCGCTGAGTACTAGAGGGTACAGTTTTTATTTTCATTGTTTTAATTTCATAATGCCGCCATCTACTTACTGCTAAATAAACTAATAATAAGCAATT